TCACTTGGCAGTGGGGGGATGAGAGAGGGGTTGCCCCCAGGGGAAAAGGGAGGTGGCCCGGGTTAGGCCCGGAGGCCTCCAGGCCCATGCTACCTTGAGACAAAGGCACCCGGGGGTGTATGTGAGAGATTATGCTGGGGTCTGTGGGGTGCTGTGGGGCGAGGGGTTGTAGATGGGGTGGGTGGACTGGAGACAGAAAGGGGGCTCGGAGATGCTGAGTTTTGGGGGGTGGGTTAGGGCAGTCCCTGTAAAGCAGTTGTCACCAACAAGTAGATCGGGATCTACCAGTAGATCTTGGAGCCTCTGACAGGTGATTCTGACTGGTTTGGCCAGGAAGCTATAAAGCACTTCAGTTGCTCCTCCGCCCACTGTGTGTGGGAGGGAGAAGAGGGGGGCATTGATGTTCGGGTGTCTTCCCTCTCCCCCCACTTCTGTACCCCACCTCCACACAGAGAGAAGGGAATGGAGGGATCTTGGCAGTGCAAATCTGTCACACACTGTGTGTGTCTCTCTCATTCTCACAAACACACGCTGTCCTTCACTCTCATCTGCTGACCCAACACATACATGGGGGGGGGGGTTGTTACTTCTTTTACTGCTTGCAAAGTGGGTTATTTTTTGTTTTTGACTGGTCTGTGCATTTCATAATTTTCATTTCTCTCACACTTAAATTTAATTCTTTGAGTAGTGAGTTTTAAAATGCCTCACCTGTCCTGTCTGAAGTAATATTATCCCCGTAGTAATTGCTGCTCCTGGAAGTGGCTGGCATGTCCCTGCAGCCCATGAGAAAGGCAGAGCTGGGGGTTGCCCTATGCTGTCCTTGCCTGCAGACACCACTCCTGCAGCTCCCATTGATCAATAATGGGGAACTGTGACCAGTAGAAGCCGTGGGCTTAGTGCCTGTAGATGAGGGGCAGCATATGGTACCATGGGTCCATTGCTGTGTATGCCAGCTGCTTTCAGGAGTGGTGCAGGCCCAGGGCAGGCATAAGCCGCCTTAACCCCACTGCTCCACCACCTGGAAGCGTTCTCAGGTAAACGGTGCCCAGCCAGAGCCTGCTTCCTGAACCCCTGTCCCAGCCCTGAACCTCCTCCTACACCCAGCCTCCTGCTCCAGACGTGAGTCCCCTTGCACCAAACTCCTTCCCAGAGCTTGCACCCTGAAACTCTTTCTGGACCCCAATCCCCCACTCAGCTAAGCCTGGAGCCCCTCCCAAACTCCGAGCCCAAGACCAGAGCCTGCACCCCAGCCCCCTGTTCCAGCCTGGTGAAAGTGAGTGAGGATGGAGGAAGAAGGGCAATGGAGTGAGCCGGGTGAGGCCTTGGAGGAAAGGTGGGAAAGAAACAGGGCAAGGGTATTTGGGTTTGAGGTAGATCTTACATTGCACTTGCATTGAAAAAGTGATCTTGTGGTTAAAAAGATTGGAGACCACTGCAGTGAAGAGTCACCTCTCCCAAGCGCTTGGAGCACTACCCAGTTCTTCACCATAAGCAGTCCCCTGTGAATGTAAAGTTAGGGGGGGGGGAGCATCTGGCAGGAAGAGGAGGCGGGCTCTGTGTAGGAGGGTTGGCAGGTTGATAATAAAAAGCACCCTCTGGAAAAAAAGGGTGTCCATTAAAATTGTGGATCCAAGGGCTGGGGTGGCTTTTGAAGGGGAAATAGGCCCAGCAGCGTGGAGCTATCACACTGATGGTCCAGTTTTCTGCTGTCCAAAGATACCCCAATCAGGGCTCCAAAAGATAGGTGGCGTCGGAGCATAAATACCCCATTGTGCTTGGATAATAGATAGACATCATGTTTGGGCAGGGTGGTGAGGGGTGTAGTGTTTTAAGCTGTAGGATTTGCATAACTACATGGAAAGCCTGTCTCATATTACTTAGTGGACTGCCCAGCTGTATCCCTGGATTCAGAAAGGGGAGCGGCTGCTGGCACAGCCAATGCTCCTCTCCCTGCTGTAAGGTTTTAATGATTCCCTTTGGTTTCATAGTTTTGCTTGAGTGACTGAATGTAAAAAATGTATCTCTGTGAGGGAATCTGTGCTTCTGGGAAGATGCTGCATCATTTATCTCCAATACAGCACTTGTGTCCCTGTCAGTAGGGCTTTCCCCTTCTCTTCTTTCTTCCCGCTGGCAGTGCTGAAGGGGTTCAGTATGAATGATATGTAGGACTTCTTGTATTCTACTGGGCCTCATGGGGCACCTCCTTTCTCTGCACTTGTTCCCTGGGCGGTAACCTCTCTCTTATCCCTCCATTGCCAATTGAACTCCTGTTCCTTTATGCCCAGCAGGTTCTGCCCCCACCCCCACAGTTTTGCCATCTCCTCTGGAGGAAGGGACACGGATCTCTGCCAAAGACAAAATTCGAACAGGCTCTCATAGTTTGTCTTTCTCCTCCCTGTTTTTCTTCAGGGCTAACCTGGTAGATCTTCAGAAGAAGCTGGAGGAATTGGAACTGGATGAGCAGCAAAAGAAGAGGTTAGAGGCTTTCCTCACCCAGAAAGCCAAGGTTGGGGAGCTGAAAGATGACGACTTTGAGAGGATCTCCGAGCTGGGAGCTGGTAATGGTGGGGTAGTCACCAAAGTGCAGCACAAACCCTCAGGACTCATTATGGCACGAAAGGTAAAAGACAGGAGGCAGACGTATTTTTTTTCTTATGCTTGTGTTGGCCTACACAGGAGAGAGGTTGTAATAGAAAGTCACCCTGTTACCCTATAAGAAAAGCAGTATTTTGCTTAGCCTATCCCTTCTGCTTCCTTAAATGAATTCCATACTGGTAAAGGGTGCCTTATTAGGAGCTCTGGAGACCAAGTCTCCTCAAGATCCTTAGAACAAGTATCTCAGGCAGCCACGCTAGTCTTTGCTCTGTGCTTCAACTCTGATCTGGAACATCCTCCCCTTGCAGGGAGAAGAGAGTTTAGTCTCCTTAGCCTTTCTGATGAAACTACCAACAACTGTGACTCTTGTGATATGGACACCTGTTCACTAGCAAATGGATTGAAATTCCTCAAATTCATTATGCATGAGCACGCGTCCTCAGTTGATACTGACTTTCTACCACTTGTGATCGAATCTGGATTTGAAAGATGGGTTTCTTCCATTATTAATCCTCTGAGCAATTCAAAGTTGCATTTTATGTCAAATCCTAAATACTGTTTAGAGCACACTCATGCTTTATTTTTCCATTAGCTCAGCTCTTAATCAACTCGACTAAATTGATTGAGGTTTGTGGGAAAGTTGTACGCTTTTCAGGTGCAAGTTGTAGGTAACAGAGAGAAAATGTGTGGCAGAATCTGCAGAAAGACACTTTGCTAGTAGAGGAAAGGTCATTTAATCATTTTCAGCAACAGAGCCCCAGAGATCCTTCTGCCATGAGAGAAACCCTCCAGCTTTGTACCTGGAACAGTGCTGCGAGGAGCCTTTTGCGTTTGTCTTGAAACTTACTGTCCCAAACACACAAGTTGTTCACCTAATGATGCCCGATAATGGAAATCAGTAATTGACCCGTCTGTCAAGAAAAGGCAGACTTCTTCAGAGAACAAGTCAGATTTCTGACTGTTCAAATCCAGTTATGTGACTTAACTTGAAACTCTTATTGGGATGAACTTTTAAAAGCAACAGGTAAAATTCTATGGGTCTGATGAGCAAATCTATAGAGCGGTAATACCCATATAGTCTTCCACAGTAGCATTGTTAAACTGGTCCTACATGGAGTCCTCTGCTTCTTAATTTTCAAGCAACTCCCTCTTAGTGTCCCTGTTTTGTTCTTTCCTGGTCTCCTTGGTATTGAGACACCCTGCGTAGTGCCTGCAGAGCTGGCTTTTTCACGTGATAAACATTTACTGTGCTGGGAGCCATCTGTGTGCCCAGCTTGCTACGTTGGTGTTCTGACTTACCCTGTATTATCAGTACGGGGGTGACTAGTATGCTCAGTTACATTCTGTGCAGCCTGCAGAATGCAAGAATAGTTGTCCAGCAAGCCTCACCACTTAGGCTGGTAATGGTAGGGAGAACAGCTCTCACCAGCACAGGGACAAGTGGAGCTCTCTCAACCCCTTTTGCTTCTCGCTTCCAAACTGGAGCTCTATGTTCTTGTAGCTGTTCCTTGAGTCTGGCTTGATTTTTTTTTTTTTTCAGCTGATTCACTTAGAAATTAAGCCCGCCATTCGTAATCAGATTATCCGAGAGCTGCAGGTGCTGCATGAGTGTAACTCTCCATACATTGTGGGTTTCTATGGAGCTTTCTACAGCGATGGGGAAATCAGCATCTGCATGGAGCACATGGTGAGCCTACACTCCCTCCTTCTTTTAAGCCATTGCTGCTCCTCTCCAGTACTTTCTACTGAGCAGATTCCTCTGGGTTGTAGATGCAAAGGGCTAAGTGATGCTAGAGTGTTTTTCTTCTAAGCAAAAGGCTCCTTGCTCAGAATGTGTGTGGTGGAAATGGGACATCAGACTCTGTCTAGGAGCTACACAGCCCTACTGTGGTGGCTAAAATGTACAGAGAAGTATTCTTTCTGGAAAGCGGAAGTGGCGGTTTTGGGGTCCAGCCAAGAGGAAATGTTGCAAACCCTCCACTGAACAGAATTCAGTGAACTGCAATGTGCATCTTCCGCTGTATCTGTCAGGGAGGGCATATTCTATTTCCCCCACGTTACACTTTACTTGTCAATGCAAAGGCAAGGGAAACAGTGCTGAAAACTCGTGACGTTTCTATGTTAGACGGTGACATTAAAATAATATTTCCTATGACAGCAGAGTTTAATCATGAAGGGCGTAGCAAGAGATGGGTGTAGTCCTCTGAACACCCACTTGTGACGATTACCAGAGCTATCTTCCTTAGTCTGCAGATACTCTCTAGTGTTACTGACTAGTGAACCCAAATGTATTAGGCTATTTACGCTGCTCAGTCCTCATAGGTGGGTACATTGTAGAACCTAGAGCTGGAAAACACTTTTCAGGGCATTTATTGTATTTTCCTGCCAGTGCTCAGTTAACTTCTCTGCTCTGAATTTAGGATGGAGGCTCCCTGGATCAAGTGTTGAAGGAAGCCAAAAGGATTCCTGAGGAGATCTTGGGGAAAGTCAGCATAGCCGTGAGTATCCCTCTCCCAGGGCTCACTCAAAACCCCTTGGCAGAGGAGAGGCTTCAGGCTTTCAGAAGCAGCACAACCAGACGTCCCGATTTTATAGGAACAGTCCCAGTGTTCAGGGCTTTGTCTTATACAGGCGCCTCTTACCCACCACCCCGTTCCAGTTTTTCACACTTCTATCTAGTGTTCCTATTCAGAACTCGCTGTCTCTCAGGGTGTATTGGGAGAAAACACAGTCTGAATGTTGACTCTATGCTGGTCTGTTTCCCAACCCTTCCTGAAATCTATTCAGTACCCCAGGAGCAGTCTTCCCTTCAAGCTGGTCGTTTGTACGGCCACTCGGGAGAGATTCCAGTGTCAGCCAGCTGATTAGCAGAGTGCCCACAGCTAGGGTTTCTTTTTTTAACTGGTGGTGCACATTCACATGTGAATCCGTGCTCATAACACTTATTCCGCACATGGAAGGAAAAAATCTGCACGTGGATGGAAAAGATTAGAGTGAATGTTGCCCAGGAAGCTTATTTCCTGGGAGTGGGAGCACAATTTCCTGTAGCTAGACACACCGGGGTTTGCAGCTTAAATTAGTAGGTTTTCCCTCCATCCCATGTGTCTTTATTGTATCATCAGCTAGGAGTCAAAAGAATAACCATATGAGCTGGGAAGTTAGTATATTTCAGACCATTTACTACAACTCTGTTGAATCAGTTAACCGGTCAAACGTTATGTTGAATCAGTTAACTGCCTGGCATGGGTGGGTAGAGGCTCTGCCTGCAGGGCTGGAGTGCCCCCCCCATCTGTGGTGTGGGGGGGGGCTGCTCCAGTCCAGCTGGGCCGTTGGTTAACTGGTAAACATCACCTGGTAAAGGAGATGCTTACCTGTTAAATGGTTAGCCACTGACATCCCTACGGTGAACCAGTGATTTCATATCTAACACTGTGGGATTTTCAATTATCTGCACGTTTAATCTTCTTAAGCAGAGTAGACCTAAAGTGAAACCATCATTTGCTCTGCCGTGTGTCGATTACTCCCTGGGGCTGGAACCCTTAGCTACTCCAGGGAGGCTTTACTGTTGATTTTGCAATATGACAGCATCTTAAGTCTGTGCAAGATCTCTCTCTGCAGAGGGAAAGACTTTTCTTTCCCAGCATTTAGTTCTTTCTGTCCTTTATTTTTCTTCTAGGTTCTGCGAGGTTTGGCATATCTAAGAGAGAAGCATCAGATCATGCACAGAGGTGAGAACAGAGAACCTAAAAATACCTTCTCATGACAGCCAGAGACCTGGATTGTTCTGTCTTAACACTGCACATTCATTTTTTTTTCCTTTCTCTCTCCCATTCTCAGATGTGAAACCTTCTAACATCCTGGTCAATTCCCGAGGAGAGATCAAACTGTGTGACTTTGGGGTTAGCGGTCAGCTCATCGACTCCATGGCAAACTCCTTTGTGGGGACTCGATCCTACATGTCTGTAAGCCTCTTTACACTTGTGTAAACCTTTGGGTGTATTCAACAAGGGAAAGGGCTTTACCACTCCTAAGAACCAGACTATGTGTTAGCATAGTGTCCAGGGTCATTCAACTCCACCAGGTATTCTTAGCCTTGCCTGTGGTATCCTGCTGTTACACCCTTCTACGCTGAAACTAGCAGCCAGACCCACCAGAGAGGTAGCTGATCTTCTCCTCCGTGATTTGTGTGTATATTACAAGACCTCACTTCACTTCTGTCCCCAGCTTGATTTATTTTTTAGGTGCACAAACACCTCTGTATACTTAGATGAGTCTGCTTCTTTTAAAGGGACGCCCACAACCTTAAAACTAGTGAGTTTCCAAAAAGTTAAAAAGTAGTTTGAAGTCCTACGCCTGCTCCTGAGTTCCCCTGCCAGTATTGGCAGGCTTAGAGTTGTATTTGCAACTTCTAAAAAAAATGCTTTCCACAAGAGCAGGAGGGAATGAATTGTCACCCAAGGGCTGTTGGCCTATTCAGTGGAGAACTATGAAATGGACACTCTAAAACACTTCATTGTCCAGTTGCAAAGTTGAAAGCAGAATAGTAGCGTGTTCTATTCACTTTCCTCTGGTGTAGATGTTCGACACAGTGCAGGGCAGTGTGCCATCAGGTCCAAAGTTGTGTCGGGGTCTTGTGTTAACTGGGAGAGAGAACCATTTTTCTGGACACATTCAGTGAGTCATGGCACATGTTACTTGTCACCGTAGGCAGAAGAATTTCAGACAGCTGTGTGATGTTTAAGTGGAATTTAGATGCTGTTGGGCTTTCTCTTTATATCCCCAGTCTGGTGACAATGTAATGCAATGGAATTGTTGCATATTGGCTCGTGTGCATCTGTAAGGACTTGCACAGATCACACTCTAGCCAGTGTTCTTTGCTTTCTTGAGCAGTACATTTACTGACCACTGTCATTACAAAACTCTAAATCTGTGCTCGCTCTTGGGCCTTAGCTTGTTTGCCTCAGCATGGCGGCGCGTAGCGTGCATTTCCCCCAGATTTAACGGCTAGGAACGAAGATGTGGGCTTTTAGAGAGGCTGTCAGCCTGCACTTGTCTCTTTCACTCCGAACTTCTCTATATTTTAGACACTGTTACTCTTCAACTGCAGTTATAGTTAGGGCAGAGACTAACGTAAAAAAAGTCCCTTTTTCAGTCCATCAGCTCTGGGTGATTGAGTCATTTCTCAACTGGCAGCTGTGACTCCTGTTGGTTTTGCAGTGATGAAAGAAGCAGAAAACCCAGTTTCTACTTGGGAGTTTGTATTATCGGGCAATTAAAAAAATCATCTTTTTTCCCCCCCCTTGTATACTGAGTAAGCTAGAGAGCTGCACTCGAAGTGTATAAAACCTGTGCTACACGTTCCGGGTACGTGGCCTCTCTAGGAAGAACAACCCCCCCCACCCCTTCCCATCCCCCATATTTCCTCTGAGCATATTAATGCTTCCTGCTGGTATGAAGAGTTTCAGGCCCTCGGAGGATTTTAGTTTATAAAGAAGATGGTAAGTTTTCAACCAGCCTGTCCCTGCAGCAGTTCAGCCTGGAAAAAGAAAAAAGTAGTTTGTACGAGCCCCTTTAGCCTGAAGGTGCAGGAGTGTGTGGGGGAGAGAGATGGTCATGTCTGTTTCATTTAAATGTATAATTAGAGGGAGGTGCTTTGTATCCTTATGTGTGAGGCAGAGTTCCTCTGCAGTAGTGTGTCATAGCCACAGATGACTTCCCGTCAAAGGAGTCTCTTACGTAGTGACCTCTTTTCTGTGGAAGGAGAGTTTAATGAGGCACATCTGTGACTTTTCATTACAGCCTGAACGGTTGCAAGGCACTCATTACTCAGTTCAGTCTGACATCTGGAGCATGGGGCTCTCCCTGGTGGAGCTGTCTATCGGAAGGTATCCAATCCCCCCACCTGACTCCAAGGAACTGGAAGCGATATTTGGCCGCCCCATGGTCGATGGGGCAGAGGGAGAACCTCACAGCATCTCACCGCGGCCCAGACCCCCAGGGCGCCCTGTCAGTGGTAGGGGCTGAAATTGACACCTGTCTGCGGGGATGGTCTTTGGTTTATGGGGCTGGGTTAAAAATATGAAACAATCCGGTACTGTAGAATCGGCTTTCATCATTTCTCTGGAACTTGTTCTGCAGAAGGCTGGCCTGTCCTGGAAGCAGAACCCAGCACTAATTCCTGCTTCCCTGGTTTTTACAGACTGCTCGTGTAAAATCAGTCTCCCATAAAGGCAGCCTACCATACACATGAGGGTCAGGATGTTCCAAAGAGACTAGTGATCTGGGGGGTGATACTTTGAAAAAAGCCTGATTTTTCAGAGCCGCCTGTTCAGCACTTTCTAGTTTGGCCCCATAAAATCATTGGAAAAATCTTGGCCAAACTGCAGCACTTCAGGTGGAAGTTGCTCTGCTGACCGACCGACTTTGCTGCGGAGACATGATTACCCTAGAGACAAGTGCTGTTACCCTCAGCTCAGGTACAGCATTTGCATTGACAGAGCACGCTTCCTGCTAGCATGCCTGAGTCCTGGCCTGGGGGGAGGGCAAGGTATGTGCTCCTTTGTCTCTGATTAGTCTGATCCCAAAGAGGCCAAATAAGTGCCAGGTGTGGTGTATTTGAGATCTGAACAGATCAAGGAGCTAGACTGAGACTGCCAAATTAATCTCACATAGGCCTCTGAACAGCCCCTAGATGATCATTATTGAGTGGCTGGAGTTGAGTAGTTGCTCTAAACACAAAAGGCTACTTGGTCTACTTCCACCTTCCAAGCTATGAAATGAATCGTGGATATGGTAGCCAGGGTTGAAACCATAAAGCTGAAAACAGGCTGTGAAAAAAAAATCTATCCCCATTCTCTGCAGTAGTGTGTCATAGCCACAGATGACTTCCCGTCCAAGGAGTCTCTTACGGCTAATACCATTGTATTGCTTTTGCCTCTGTCAGAGTCTAAACTCCACTGTGCAGTTTCTGTTCAGTTTTGGCCATGTGCAGTTTCTTACCCTGCCTTTGTGCTCTTAACTACACAGGCCACGGAATGGACAGTCGGCCTGCAATGGCCATCTTTGAACTGCTGGACTATATTGTTAATGAGGTTGGTATTTGAAATCACCTTTCATCTCCTTCCCCTCCCCCCTTGGTTTGCTGGACTCTTTCAGAGTCTCTCGATTCAAAATAGATATAAAATCCGCATTTGCCCATCAGTTAAAGGGGTAACAAGAACTGAAAGCTTCAATCAAATAGCCTTTTCTCCCACTCCTTCTATTTGTATTAGATCCTGTCCCTTCACCCCCATTTGCTCTTCCTGTCTCTTGGTATTAAAGTCTACAATACTGAAATGCCTCTAGCTCTGGAATAAGACCCTGCAGACAAGGGCTTGTAATATCCTTAAAGGAATTGAGAGAAGAGTAGAAAAAGGAGCCCTGAGGGTTACTGAGCGATTTGTTGAGCAATTTAGTTATTTAGAACAAACTTCTCCATAGACCTGTGAAGGATAAACAGTCCCTCTGCTAGGCAGCAGATCACACCAGTGTTCTCAGCATGGGATGAATTCCTGATCTTTGTGAGAAACCTTAAGGTAAATTACAATCCAAGGTCCTAAAGTAAGTGTCCCAGTAAGGAGGCGGAACCAGTCTGTGGGAGGAGCAGCTTCCCCTGTAAGGTGACATGGTGACTAGAGTTCTGCAAGTCCGCGGCTATCTGCTTGACGGCCGCAGGTATCCACGGATGCGGATATCTGTAGCTCGTTTTTGCAGAAGCGGACGCAGATTTTGTCTCATGAGGAATCGTTACCTAATCGACAGGTTACAGGTGTGTGGGATTTGCCACATTTGACCAGAATACTGAGTTTAGCTCTTGAACTCCAACCTTATGACAACGGCTAATACCTAATGCTTCAAAAGTAGGCCGCACTGCTTTGCCTGTGCACCTAGAGCCGTGCTTTCCCTCAGGTGGGGTGCACGGTTTTCCTTCTGAGGCCATGAATGGTGGAGCTGACAGAAGATGCGCACGTCTGGGAGGTCACTGGCTGTGAAGGGAAGCAATAGTTACGCCGTTCTAAATTTAAAGAGAAACCCGTAAGAAAGTCAGGTCTTCAGGCTGTAGCTTTTCAGAGACTGCTGCTTCCTGACCCATGCGTGCAGAAAACCCTTCTGCTTCTTTCCTCAGCCGCCGCCGAAGCTGCCGAGTGGAGTTTTCACGCAGGACTTCCAGGAGTTTGTAAATAAATGGTAAGGATCTCCTGCATGGGGCTGGCTGCAAGTGAACAGAGGCTGTGCGTGGGGCTGGCTCGGTAGAGGAAAATGGTCTGTTCTGTAGCAAGGCTGGCAGAGCAGTACATGGTTTTCCATGTGCCCCTGCCCAAGTGCCTCCCCTCTGACCTGCAGGGACCACCCTCAGTCAGTCCTTGCGATCCATTCAGTCTGCGCGCCCTGTGAGCTGTTGTGCGGGCACTTACTTCCCTAGAAACAGGACTAAAGTCACCAGCGCACTTCATGGAGGGTACAGAACTGGCTGCTGGGTAATGGCTGTATGGGTTGGTTGCTTAAGTCATCCAATCCCCTGCTCTGTCTTTGTCCTTAGTGTAAGACTTTTGGTGGGTGCCTCGATAAGTTCTGCAGCTGATGCTGGTTTATTGACAGCCTTCTCCATGCCGTGGTCTCCCTCCAAACCCTAGCCCCGAGGAAGCTTGCCTAGAATGTTCCTAGGCACATAGGATCCTCTTCTCTTCTCTTCTCTTCTCTTCTCTTCTCTTCTCTTCTCTTCTCTTCTCTTCTCTTCTCTTCTCTTCTCTTCTCTTCTCTTCTCTTCTCTTCTCATGTAAAAGGGATTATTTTTCTTCAGTAGGACTTGTCTTGTTGGGGCTTCATGTGCTCGTGATGCTCCCGGCTCAGCTACCTTTGGTTAAGGTTCTGTTCAGAGGAACCTGTAATTAGTGCTACTGTGTACTTGGTAGGGATGGAAGCGACTAGTCAACTGTCCGATGAGCAAGACCCAGAGCCCTTCCCACTGCAGGCCTCCCAGGGCTCCAGGCACTAGGGATGTGACTGGTCGAGTACTTGACTAATCGCTTTCCCCCACTTGCTGCCTCTGTAGCACCCGGGGGGCCAGGAGCCAGTGCTGGGGGAAGCAGAGGCTGCGGGGAGGGGTCCCAGCAGGGAGCTGGGCCTCCCGGCATTCAGGGGCTTTTGCTGCTGAGCAAAATTCCTGTTCGCAGAGGCCGGGGCTGCTCAGCCCCTGGCTGTAGCCAGCCCTGGCTGCCATGAACAGGGACTAGTGGCCAGAGCTGTCCGCCACGAACAGGTGATCGCCATGATCACTGCACCTCTGCATTTTAAATATAGTAAGAACCCAGCAGCAACATTAGGACTAGTGGACCTAAACTGAGAGCAGCCAGCTTGGCTTTGGTTCATGGATGTGCTTCAGTGTCTGATTAGAGATGTAAGAGTTTAACCAGTTAACCGACAATCATGAGCTTATCGGTTTCTGTTATGGTTAAACTCTGCCCTGTAGCCGTGCGCTCTGGCTGCCTTCCCCACTCCCAGGGAGCTGACTGCTGCTCCACGCTCTGCAGTACAACCTTATATGGCAGAGCCTGCGGGGCAACAGCCATCTCCCCGGGAGCCACAGACTGCATCCTTCCCTCCCTCGTCCCACCCAGCAGTACCTGCCCAAAACCGGTTAATGGTGTAACCGCTAGGATTTTGAACAGTTCCACCGTTACTGTTTTTAAAGCTTTATTTTTTACCATCCCTGTCTCAAACATGAGTTAATCTTTTGCAGCTTTCTTGCCCTAAATTTTCCCACGGTGACTAATGCCTTTAAGAGCCTTGATATTTTTTTGGGGGGGGAGGGGCCTAACTTGAAACTCTTTGAAACAGTCTGATTTTTCAGAACTGTGGAACAGCAGCTCCATCTCAAAATATGATGCCTTTGCAGTCTTTCAGTTTTGGCCCCTAAAATAGCTGGTCACTGCTGGACACTTATCCCTGATCTTTACTTTCAAATGAGGGCTTAGCAGCAACCTCTGCTAAGGAAAGTTCCCAACAGGACCTGGACCTTGAGAATCAGCTTTCCCTAAAGTTTTTCTCTGATTCTTATCTCCCAAGCCTGCTGGAGTGTGTGGTGAGTGCCTGGATAGTGGGGTGTGGTCAGAGATCCTGGACAGATCAGGTGTAGAGGTCAGACTGTTGAAGGGACTCGTCTGGGGTCGGCTTGGGGGGGGATGTCCCTCCATAGTGGGTACATAATGCTGCTTTCAGAGCCGTGATACAAGTGATGAGGTGGAGGTCTGTTGAAGGCGGCACTCTCTGGCTTCCAAATAAACCAGACACCAGACTGCGTAACCTGCATGGCCCAAGCGCCAGCTTTTCGCAAGAGGGCTCTGACAGACCTTTCCTGCCTTTTCTTCTGTTCTCAGCTTAATTAAAAACCCAGCGGAACGGGCAGATCTGAAGATGCTGATGGTAAGTGGGGAGCTACAGGAGCATTGCATTGTGGGTAGGGTGCCCCTCCATTCCTTTACCAGAAGCAGCTCCTGTTGCATTTGGTTTCCTTCTCTTGAGACACTGGAAGCTCCAAGTGACATTAAGGGTGACCTGAGTGTGTGTGCGGGGGGGAGGTACAGGAGAATACCTGTCCCGTTGATGCATTTACAGTCTTCCCAAACCATGCCCAATACCCGCAGGCATGTGCTACCCTAGCCCATGCAGGCACCAGGCCTTCCTGAAATGATTCCTCAGAGATGCCTTTGGGAAGGGAAGCAGGTGTTTGTTGGAAATCTCCATGTCTTCCCCGGTGGTTTGGGCGACCACTGCCTTGGTAAGTGCCAGACCCCCTCAGCTGCTAAGGACTGGGATGGGGAGATTGTGCCTCCCCTCCACACCTCTTGGAACTGCTGCTCCTGGCTGCATCACCTGCCTCAGTGGGTGCAGTGGCTGGCAGTCCCCAACCCCCCGCCTGCCAGCACCCAGCGAGCTGCTCTGTGCGGTGCTCCTCTCAAATTCTGGCAGCTCCGGCGCTCAGCCCGCGGAGTACAGGGTTTACAGCTCTGGAGCTTTGCTAAGCCAGTTTGGACACCGCACCCACCGCTCTGCCGCTGCCCCTAGAACTGTCTCCCCGCTCGAGGTGTCCTCCCACCAGGCCACCAGTTCAGCCACTGGGGGGATGTGTGTGTGTTGCTCCCCGGTGGGTCTGTTCGTGCTCTCTGCAGCGCATCAGCCAATCAAACAGCAGTATGGCTCCTAGCCCCGCACCGACTGATCAACCATCTCAAAGCCAAAAGCCCCAGCCACTCTTGTAAATAGCAGCTTGTTGGACAGCTCTATAAAAAGCTGGTTTTGGCTGGAGAACAGAACGAGCCGGTCCTCCAACTCAGAACAGTGCTGGCAGCACAGCCCGGCTCCAGGAAGAAGCTGCCTCTGCGGCACAAGCATCTGAAACCATTAACAACGTTCTGAGTCATTGGCTGATACAAACCCCGTCCTTGGGGGGGAGAGATTTCCTGGCTTTACCCCATGTAACGGCAATAGAGACCATTACCCCGTGACAATCCTACATCCTCCCATTCATGTCCTGTGAAGCATTGTCCGGGAATCCCTTGTTCCGCCAGTGCAGGCTCTCAGGTAGCAGCATTAGTCTGGATCCTGCCATTGTCTGGTCTCAATGACCCTCCTCCACTGACTTCGGGAGCCAGGGCTGCCTGTCTTAGGGCAGGGCTCCACTACCACTTAGGACATGGTGTTGGGATCCATGTTCCCTGTAAGCTGAGCTCTTGGGCAGCCGCCCAGGGGCGAGTCAAATGCTGCCCAGCTGACTAGCAGAGTGCCCACAGCCAGCAGTGTGCGTTTCTAATGCGGGTGCACATCTGCACCTGCTTCGGTGCACAAAACAAAATTCATTCCGCATGTACATGGAAACCATTAGAGGGATCATTGGTTGGAATGCATGTGCTTTACTCTCTCTCTTTTCCCCTTTCAGAATCATGCCTTTATCAAACGCTCTGAAGTGGAAGAGGTGGATTTTGCAGGCTGGCTGTGTAAAACACTGCGGTTAAACCAGCCCAGCACCCCTACCCGCACCGCTATGTGACAGCAAAGCAAACTGCCTTGTATCCATACATCTGCCTGTCTGTCACTGTTTCCTGCCCTTCAGTAGAAGACAGACCCGCCCTCCTTCCTCCCCATCCCCTTCCCACCCTGCTCGTAAACAGCAAAGCACCATCGTTTGGGAAATATCCCTCATCCAACAAACGAGCAGAAACGGGCTTGCTTCCTTTTTTGTTTTTTGTTTCCCATGCCTGCGTTCAAGCGCAGCTGAGTCTTTGGAGTTTCTGACATTTGGGAAGTGTGGTGCTGCTTGTGTTGTCTCTTTCGAAAACTGTTCACTTGGGTTAAAAAATACGCGGAGGGAGGGTGGGAGGGAGATCACATGCTTGGTACACTTTTGGTGTGGGTTTGGAAAGGGCTAGTGTAGAAAGCTCTCGCGCTGAGCACAGAGAAAACTACCACTGCAGAATGGCGGGGGTGAGGGCAGGCCAAGTTGCCAAATGGTACAGCTGTTGCATGTGAGTTGGCAGAGAGCAAGAAGGGGAAGTGAAGGGGTTAGTGGATTCCTTGAGGGTGCTTGGGGAAATTAGCAGGTGCACTGCAAGAACAAAGAGAGGGTTGCTGGGTAAATATTTTTAGCCTAGCTGGGGAAAGAGGAGTAGCATTAAATTCTCTCTCGCCCTCCTTTTGTCTGTCTGAAGCCTTTCTTCTCCCTTTGTGCAGTTCCCTCCTGGACACAGCTGGCTCCATCCTGGGCTACTGAATGGGGCTGGGAGCCTACTAGGAAAGGGACATGAGTCTGAGCCAATTGATAACAGATTGCAGGGCAATATTGGCTGCTCTTCAGGTCAATGTGAAGCTCAGGGCAAGAAGCTTTTTGCAGGGAGCTTGGGGCTAGCAGAATTGTGTTGGAGGAGATTGCTCCCTCCTGCGATTGCAGCAGCATTACTGCCCGGCTACCCTTCCACGCTGTGAAAGGAAGCCTGTCTTGTACCCGACTGTTGGTGAGAGAAAGGGAAAGTCGCCGTTTCTCTGTAGCTCTGGCACGTTCTGCCACCAGCGCAGAGATGCTGTCTTGGGAACGGAGTTCCTAGCTACTGGCCTGGGGAAGAAAAGTCTCGATCTTTCAGATCTTCTCCCGGCACTGACCAGGCTGATCTAGCAGCTACCTGGGAGTGTGTTGCATACCCCAAAGGCTCTGGGAGTCCAGCTGATCCTTTGCGCATTTTCTCAGCTGCTCCAGTCCAGTGAGAACCATCTTCCCCAGGATCTATGGCACGTGAACAAGCTTTTTGAAACTTTTTTTTGGAGAGGCAGGGAGAAATGCCTCCAATCCTGCAGGAAGCCACACAGCCGGTTTCCACCTGGGGTTCTTTACCTCTTTGAAGAATTCCCCAGGCTACCTGCCAGGGGTCAGAGTTGCTGGGCTTTGTTTTGTGTTTCTGCCGGCACTGATCTTTTTCACCAGTCTCCTCCTGAGGAGTTCAAACCTGTCATCTCCCCCAGAAGGTGCCCAGTTTGGAAATCCCCTTCCTTCCCTTCCTCTGGCTGATCTCACTGGGTTAGTGGCTTTTTTTCAACAGTATAAATGCATTCAACCAGCAGCCATCAGACACCAGGCAAGGTAGAAGAGCGGGCCGAGGGAGCTGCAACTTCAGCCGCCTCATGACTGGCTGGCAAGATGCTGTACGATGCCACTGGAGGAATGAAACCGCACACCGGGACTAGTTTTGTGACATAACTAGCCAAAAACAGTCAAGCCTCTGGGGAAGACTTCCCCAAGGATCATTGGGTGCCGACCTTCCATTGGCGTTAATGGGAGCTGGGTGTCTTAAATGGACCTCAGTTCTCCCCCTGTGGGCCCTCGTGGTGGGGGAAAGGCCTCTCAAAGCCACACACCCATGGGGCACGTTTCTTTCCCCTTTTGATAAATAAGGATTGTTCCCTCCCCCCCCAGTGGTGGCTGAACTGCTCCGCAGAGCTACCTACACCGTTGCAGCCCTGGTCCCAGGCTCACACTGTTCTATTGCAGCTTCAGCTCCAGCAGATTAGGAGTCCTGTCCAGTGAAACAACCCCCTTGAGCTAATGTTCGTCAGGGCTAGATGCACCGGGGGAAGCTCTGCTACTGAAGAGTTATTACAGCTCTCCCCATTGCTTGGCATTCCCTGCCCGAGGCCAGTATAAATCCCTGTGCAATGTAGCTCCATTGGAGTGGAGAGGTAACTCCAAACCTGCTTCATCTAATGACAATCCTCTGAACCAAGAAGATCTCCCTAGAATGGGTACGCCGGTCGTACGCGCTTTGCTGCGGCGGGGCTGGGCATAGTGTCTTGCCCTGACCCAAATGCTTTGGGCAAAAAGATCTTGCTTTCTGCCTTTCCGCGTGAGCAGCTTGGCTCTCAGAAGTGTTCTGCTGCAAACTGGGCAGGGAGACCCAGCTGGCGAAGTGGCAGTGACCATCCGAGGTATCTCTTTGCTCCTGCCGCTCCATCAGTGTGTGAGCTGATGCAGGTGTTAAGTCTGAGGAAGCCTCTTGTGGGTCTTGATTAGGCCTTGCTTGTCTTGTGTGCCTGGCAGTAGTATGTATGGAATTCACCAAGTGTATTTATCTCATCTTTCTTTGCGTGGATCTGGTTCTTAATTTTCTTGAGGGAACGGAAGAAGAAGTTAAACAATAGCTAACCGGAAGAGCCTGCTCACCTTTGGACTCTTGCTTCTTTCAAGCTACCTCTCTAGTTTAGGGAATGATAGGTACGTACCTTGCAGATACGGGAGCAAGGAAGGGCCCTGTTCTGCTGGTGGAGTCTCACTAGGTGGGAAGATGACCTGCGTGTCTCTGAGTCACATGGACAGGGTCTGTTGAAAGAGGCTTTTATGCTTTTTTTTTTTTTTTTTTTTAATGTTCCCTTTCTTTTCCTCCCTGACTTAGAAATACAAGCCATAGGAATGACTCATTCCCTTGCCCTCTTGGCTTTGCGGGGCGGGTCTCTTTGCGGGGCGAGTTCCATTTGGCTAGATCCTAGAAATCTCGTCTTTGTCGGGTTTCCTGACGCACAATGTCTTGGCTTCATGGGCAGAGGCTCTCTGTGTCCTCAGCCCTAGCGTTCTTGTGCTGCTGTTAATGGAACAACCTGAGCCAGCCTGTGGTGGCTGCAGATGTTAATGATGAACTTGTAAATTTGGGGAAGTGGAGGGTGTGTGCGTGATTGGTAAGGCTTGGTCACAGCTGGTTTGCAATGAACAGTTCTGTGATTGGGTAGGCAGAAGGCATATCTGTGTTCCTCTCCCCTCCAAAAAAGCATACATTCTTTTCCACTTGGGAATGTATTGACCTGAAAAGGAAAGGGTGCCGGGGGAGAACCTGATCACTCATGAAGCACACACTGTCTGTATGGTGTAGGTTTCACCCCCTTGATGAAGGGCACGGTGCCAGTCAGTGTTGAGTAGTCTTTCAACAAGCACGTCGACAGTGTAATAATTTAATGAGGGGTGGGGGATTCCCTCTCCATAGATGCATTTCATGCTGCTGACTGTGGTTCAGATGTGCTGGGTGTTTTAAAAAAAAGGAAAAAAAAACAAAAAAATTATAGTGCGCTGTGCTTATTTTTTCAAATAGTACCAGTGGCCCAAGCACTGATGTCATTTTTACATGTTTGAAGGCCTTTATTTTTACCCTGGAGTTACCCTATTTGATCAGATTATCAAGTGCTCTCCTCCCTGGGTTCTAGTTAATCAGACCAATGGGACGCTAATGCAGCAAAACCGCTGAGGGGGCATCTCTTACTCTGCTCCAGTGAATGTCTGTAAATATTTTACAATTACCTGAAGCCCAGAAGAAGGAGAGACCAGTTCCACTCCTGCTCCAAATCAAAGCTCATGCCGCAGGCTTTAGATTTCGCTCGAGTTTTGCCTCTATCCATTTCTGCAACATCCATTTGCCGGTGTCCCTTGATATTTATACAGCGGCTCAATAGCTAGAGGGAAGACGTGGCTAACAGTAAAGATTTGAGAGCTAAAATCTGAAACAGCATCACCAAATGGCAGTCTGCCTGTTTGTATGTTTTCCAATAACCCATTAACTTTTTTTTTCCTAGAGTGCACTTATATTCCATCAAATCTGGTAACTCCTGAGGATTGAATGTATTATACAAAGTGTTTGGGTTAATGAAAAAAACCCAATTCTAATTGAAATGGTGAGGTCATGTGCTTTGAATGACTACTGTTCTTTTGGTCATGTATATGAACCATAAGGCTCCGGGGGGGTGGGGAGTATCTTTTTTGCCTCTTATTTAAATAAAAAGTGGTAGGGAGTTGTACAACTGAAAAGCTTTAGGGTATTTTTGTTTTTATTTTGCTTTTGCGCTTGGTTTTGGAGGTGAAGGAGAAAGTGTATTGAGCATTTTGTTGGTGCAATTTTTTTTAACTCTATTTTCATCATGGAAAAAAATAAATGGCACTTTACATTAAAAAGGCCCTTTTCCTCTTTAATTCCATCACAGGCGGTTTGTAACCCCTGTTGAATCAAAATGTGAATTGTAGTGAAAAGAAAAAGGTCTAAATGAGCTGCTGCCATGCAAGAGAGAGATCTTGGAGGCATCATGGATAGAGCCATGAAAACGTCTGCTCAATATTCAGCAGCAGTCAAAAAAGCTAACACTGGGAACCATTAGCAAAGAAATAGATAAGACAGAAAATACAAGGTCACTATATAAATCCATGGTATACCCCCATCTTGAATATTGTCTGCAGCTGGGGTTGCTCCATATTTAAAATATATATATTAGATTTTGAAAAGATGAAAGTAAGGCCAACAAAAATTAAAGGAACGAGGAACAGCTTCCCAGAAGGAAGATTTAAGAAACTGGGCCTGTTCAGCTTAGAAAAGAGATGGGGGGAGGGAGGGCGGGTAGCATAGAGGTCTACACAAACATGAATGGGTTGGGGAAAGTGAATAGGGAAGTGTTATTTTATCCTTTTACATAACACAAGAACCAGGATGTCCCATTATAAAACCAGCCTTCCTTACATTTAACATCTCACTGACATCAAAAGCTAAGTATGGGACACTTCCAGCCCCCTCCATTAGCCTCATTAGCACCAGCACTGCAATTGACTTTCTCCCCCCCCCCCTTTTCTTTTAAATTCTGGGTCCCCACTTCTCCCCCACCTCCAACTCCTCTGAAGAAGTGGATTTTGCCCATGTAAAGCTCATGGTACACTATATATATATATTTTGTACTGCTCGTTTTTAAAGTTACAGAGTCACCCTGCTATTTATTTATTTTAAATATTTTTACCCTGCCTCTCTATTTGAAATATTCAAGGTGGCTTACAAAAAATGTTTTAAACACAATACAAATCTATATAAAAATTTAAAATACAAGACCCCCGAAGGACATAAAACCTGCTAAAAAAAGTCCCGAGCAGAGTCACCCACTGAAATTAATAGGCAGCAGTATTAAAACAAGGAAGCACGTCCCAATCGTCAACTTGTTGGCAGGGGATGTCGTAAAGGCTAAAAGTATGACCAGGTTCAAGATCAGTTCTTGGAGGCCAGATCAATCAATGGCTGCTAGCTAAGGTAGTCAAGGATACAGCCCCCTGTCCTTGGTGGTGGTAAACCTGGGACTACCTGAAGCTGGGAGTGGATAATTGGGGATGGATCACTTGATGATTGCCCTGTTCCGTTCATTCCCTCTGAAGCATCTGGCACCAGCCACTGCCAGAGGACAGGATAGCGGGCTAAATGGATCATTGGTCTGCCCCAGTGTGTGTCTTATGCGTCAAGGCATAAGTTAACTGCAGCTGTTGAAGAAACTACTGTGGGCAAGTGATTTCTCTAATCGTAGAATCCTAGAACTAGACGGGACCTTGAGAGGTCTAGTCCAGTCCCCTGCCCTCATGGCAGGACCAAACACTATTTAGATTGGGGTGGGGTAGTCCCACCCCTTCCTGTTTAGGCCCCACCCATTCCAGGGATACTTCAAAAATATTTGAAGTGGCCCCCCAGGCAAAAATTATTGCCCACCCCTAGTTTAGATCATCCCTGAGAGATGTCTATCCAACCTGCTCTTAAATATCTCCAGTGATGGAGATTCCACAATCTCCCTAGGCAATTTATCCCAGTGTTTAACCACCCAGTGAGAGAGTTTTTCCTAATGTCCAACCTAAACCTCTCTGGCTGCAATTTAAGCCCCTTGCTTCTTGTCCTGTCCTCAGAGGACGAGAACAAGTTTTCTCCCTCCTCCTTGTAGCACCCTTTTAGATACTTGAAAACTGCTCTGAGTCTCCTCTTTTCTAAACTAAACAAGGCCCGTTCTTTCAGTCTTTCCTCATAGCTCATGTTCTCTACCCTTTCATCATTTTGGCTGCTGTGCTCTGCGCCTTCTGCAGTTCCTCCACATCTTTCCTGCAATGTGGTGCTGAGAACTGGACACAACACTCCAGCTGAGGCCTAATCAGTGTAGAGCAGAGCGGAAGAACGATTTGTGTCTTGCTCACAACTCTCCTATGAATGCCTCCCGGAATCAGGTTTGCTTTTTTTTCAACAGTCATACTTGATCAACTTCTAATACAAGGGCGGGGAACATAAGGCTCAGGAGCTGGATGTGGCCCAGGCTTGCCTGGATCCAGCCGCTGAGGCTCAGAGCCCCCATCACTGGGGAGCCTGCGCTGGTGCTCCAGCCCTCCTGCCATCCACTTGTGAGTCTGGAGCACACAAAATCTTCTGGCCCGGGCCCCACTAGGCTCTGGAGTGCAAGGGGGAATGTGGGGAGGGTCTTTTTCCTGAGTTGGGGGCTATGTCAGTGCAGATTTGTGCTGGGTTTTTTTTTTGCTCACTTATACATGGTCCCCGACCAATTTTTCTGTGGGTCAGCGGCTCTGGACCCTCAAAAAAGGTTCCCCCAGCCCTGCTCTAATAGATTAAATGGTGCTACTTGTACCTGCTACTGGCTACTCTTGGATTCTGGATGGGCTGCATCATCTCTTATAAGGAAGCCACAGCTGCAGTGAGATACATTCTACCCAAGCCTTGAGCTGCTCAATTTCCCCGAGTTGCTCAGGGCGAGATTCAGCACTGGCTATCTCAGTGGCAGGTAAAAGATGAAGAATTATTTGAGCCCCGTGGCATTCAGATCTTACCAGTAATCAATATCAGGGTGTCAAGGAAAGAGACATTTCCCATTAGCCTGAATTCTGCCTGACCCCCCCCCCCCCCCCGGGGACAGGCTAGGGACCCA